AGGAACATGTGGAACTGTTTATAGAACCTCTTTAAAAAGCCACTCTGTAAATAGATTTAGTCCTTTGGGAATAAAAATAGGAAATAAATAGCAAGAGTCTAAATTCTTTAATTCCATTTGTGGGCATTGATTCTAAGCAAATATTCCTCATCATCCAAAAGACTAAGTACACACAAATCTTTGTCACATTATGTATCATAGTGAGAGCGAGAAACATGAAGGAAATTCCAACACGGGATAGTGACAGTGCACACTGCAACCTGTGTGCTGCAGTGACAAACCAGAACGTGAAGAAACTTTTAAAAATCAAAATCACCAGGCAACTATAGATCAGAGACATTCTGTAGGGGAGGAGGTGGCAGAAGGACCAGGACAGGCGTGGGAAGAACACAAGGGACTATGGTGATGGTGCACGGGTGAACTGGTGGTGGGAATTTCATAGGGAAATCATACACTGTACAAAAATGAAGGATGATATCATGAATATATTTTTAAAAATTTTCAACAACAGCAATAAGTAAAGCTTCCTTATAATTTCCAGAAACAAACAAACAAACAAAAAATATGTACAGTGGAGCAATAAAAAAAGAAAAAGTTTTTTAGAGGAAAAATATTTTTGCTATATTATTCAGGAAAAAACATATAATTCACAAATGGCATTTTAAGACTGAGCAGGCTATTGCACATAGAGTATAATCATAATAAGTAAAAGTGTGTAGAAAAGAGTTTGTTTCCCCTTGTCAGTCTAACACCCAAAGGCCACAGGCTAGAACAAGGGCCTTCTGCATCAACACTCAGGTGCTGAGAAAGGGCCCGGCACTTTCACAGGCAAGGCGGCCCAGAGGTAGTTCCCAAGGCAGGCCAACTGAGCAAGAGAGCCGGGAGCCTGTCTGATCTGAAACCAAGTCAAAAGGGGATGGTGGGGTCAGAGAGCCATGAAGCCAACAGACTCCTCAGGGAGGAAGACCCACAAGCGAAGGCAGGGAAAGGAAACACCAGAATCTTAATTACATGCTCTTAACCATCAGGGATCTTTGCTATTTCCAGCAAATGTGCTATAGTCCAATAAATGTGGAGACAAGTTTTCTTGAAACTTTTCAAATGAATTCCCTCTCTTCTCATTATCTACAGAGTTAAAAGCCAAAGATCAAGAAGGCACTTGTTAAGTGAGGCAGAAGGTATCCTCAGCTTCACTGAGCCTTAGTTCTCTACCCATAAAATTACAATATACCCTTGCTATATGTTGGATCTGATGGCATAATACATGTAAAATGCTTATCACACATGGCAGGCACACAGTAAGACCTCAACAAATATTAACTGTCTATTCATAATAAGAATATTTGTATTATCAACATGTTTATAAAACAGTGAGTCCCCCATTAGAGGAGGTGATTAAGCATGGGCTGCAGGGAAGCTGCAGAGACACACAATCATTTCAATGAACGTCAAGGTGCCTACTGTCACTTTTGAGATTCTGAGTTTGTCAAGAGAACCAGGGACAGAGAGAAAAAAGGGAGGGTGAGAGAGAGAGAGCTGGGGGAAGGGGACCCACTCACTGCCCTCCTCAGCATTGTATTTCAGTAGATCTGCCTGTTCTGTTACCTACTCTGTCTCTGGTGAATCCTCTCCCCTCTCTGGTCTGTACTTCAGTTCTTGTATGCATAAATACATAAATCTTAAAAAAAAAAAAAAAAAGAATACAGCATAATATAGAGGAGCTACTTTAAAGCCAGTCCAGGGCAGGTGAACCCACAGGACCCTTTTCCAGCTGAGCTCAGAAAGCTGGCTGCCTGACTAGTTTCCCCCAAGGAAAGAGACTGGGGGAATCTTCTCTATGCAAACTGAGCAACCCAAAACAAACAGATTCGGGATACTGAAATAGGGGTCACCAGTATAACCCATCATCTTTCCTGCAGAGAACTCTCCCTCTCATTCAGAGCTTCCAATCAGATTTTAGAGCATAACAGAAAGGGAAGACCACCAGTCATTTGAGGAAAGCCCCGACAGGAAACCGAGTCTGCCCTCAAAAAGAGGTTAGAAGAAACAAGAATGTTCAGGAGGCAGAGAAACCTCAGAAACAAACAAACAAACAAACAAAAACCTTAAAAGATAATGCATTAGGAAAAAAAGTAATAAAAAAAAGAACAGAACAAGAAATAAGTACATGTATCTTTAAGTCTACAGAAAAGAAAGTTAACAACATCGGAAAATATCTTTCAACAAGTAGACAAAATAAAGAAATAAAATTAGAAGGCCAATTCATGAGATCCAACTTCTGACTAATAAAAATTCCAGAAAGGAACACAGAAAAAAGAGGGGAGAAAATTATGAAATAGATACACAAAGACATTTTCAGAACCAGAATGATCTCTAGATCAAATTGTACACAGAGTAGGAACAAAATGAATGACAGTGCTATCAGTCACATCATGCAATGCATACCACACACCAACCAACCAATCTGTGAATGACTCAAAAACAAAAGTTAGTGGCATAAATATATAAAACTAGGCTCACAAAAAGAAATTAACAACTTCTTTAAAAAACAAAAACAGGGCCCTCCCTGGTGGCGCAGTGGGTTAGAGCGCAGCACAAAGAAGCTTAAACCACTTCCGCATGATTCCTGCCCCGGAGGTGACCACATGGCGCAGCAGACCTCTCCTGACCCGCCCGCTGCTCCCCTCAGCAGTGTACTTCGTCGATCTGCCTGTTCTGTACCCTGCTCTGTCTCTGGTGAATCCTCTCACCCTCCACATCTCTGACCTGTACCCCAGTTCTGTACGAATAAATAAATCTTAAAAAAAAAAAAAAAAACAGAATTCATTTGGGAACAAAGAAAGACAATGTTGCAATAATATAGACACTGACAAAGAGGGACTAGCAGAATGTGAGTGGTGGATGGAGCCAAAGCACAGAGGAGGAAGTGGACCCTTACTACCCAAAGTGGAGAAGCACAAGCACATTACAGGAAACATGGAGGGTCCAGAACAGGGCAACTGCACAAACTGTAAGGTGATACATCTGAAGGATGTTCGCTGGGGCTGGGAAAAAGAAGACAGCTTCTTCCTTGTAAGTCTGGGGGGTACTGTATGAATTTTAAAACTATACAAGTAAAACATTTTTGGAGGTGCTGGGTTTTTATGGCACTGATGGTGATGATGATTGCACAGGTCTATAGCTGTCTGCACATTTATCAAGGTATATACTTGCAGTAAATGTGGCTTTTGTATGTGACTCATACCTCAATAAAGTATTTTTTAAATTAAAATGATGAAAACAAAACTATGGTGAAAATATTTTTAAAAAAGGGAAAGAAAGGCAAAGACATGTAAGCTTAAGCTATAGATAACACACACTGTAAAGTTGCTAAAGGGTTTCAAACAAGTCCTACCATAACATGGATTTGATGAGCTTTCTCTTCTGCAAAACACTGACAAATTCCAATTCCAAAGAAGATTCCTGTATTTGTAGTTATACTGGGGGAGAGTGCTCCTCTGAGCTTTTGGCACAATTCTCCAGAGAATGGAGAAACATACTAAAACAAGGGGTGGGGAATTAAAGAGAATCCCCTAATGATGAGGGCGTTCAAATTTTGGGTCTGAGGGAGGCAGACTCAGTGGATCCTCCAGTTTTCCCAGCTCTAAGAATTCAAATTCTACCCAAAGAACAAAAGGCTGTCACCAAGTGTTTCCATGAACCTATGTACTTTAGGTTGGTCTCTGTCAGGTAGTAAGTGGCTGAAACTCCAGTCCAAATCCTCAATGCTGCTCTGTGAGGTAAATTTTTTCCTTTCTTTCTACTGTTTCCTGAGGCTCCTTAGCAGAAGAATCAGGAATTGTGTCCAAAATCCTACCACTTCCCTGCCAAATGTTGCTGAATGAATAACCAAACATCTGCCTTCCACAGGAAATAACTCAGCACACCACTTAACCAGTGAGTCAGCTCAGGAAGTATCATGGGGGTGGGGTGTGTGTGTATGTTAAAATCTATTCCCCATGTGGTTAAGTGGAGGGAAGAGCTCCTGGAACAAGTTTCCACCAAAGAAGAGTACAGTTAAGTGGGGAGCATCTTGGTGATGTGAGGTACCAGGGGCACCCAGGCCTGGGTCTCACCTGAGGTCCTACTGAAGAGCTGGGCAAGGCCATGCAAAGCAATGCCTGCTGGATACTCAGGGAAGGGAGGGACAGAGTTCTTAGAAACTGGGCTTCCTCTCTTATATTTTAGTCCAAAGGAGAGAAGAGGCCAAGTGATGAGGAGCTTTGGCTGCTACGCTGTGTCACCTGCAGGAAGTATGCCCCTGGGCATGGCACTGAACTCTCAGCACCTCCACTTCCTTTGAGAGTGGGTCTCACAAATCTTATGAAGATCACAGGAGAGGGTGTGTGAAAAAGCCTGGTGCACAGTGAGTGCCTGAATGTTATCTACTGACAATCTCCCTAGAGTTAGCATTGCAGGGAAGCATCCCCCAGTAAGTCAAGGGTGAAATTCTTCAGGATTCCATGGAGTAGACAGCCTTCCTTCTGAGACCTATGTCAAGCACCCCATCCCACCCTCAAAAGCCCCAAACTAAAAGAAATAGCTCCAAACAACTGTCCAGCATAGCAGTTGTGTATGTGCTATTGTTGTCCTCTGTGGGTAATGTTGAGGGACTCATGGGTCTGCTGGCCTACCTCTTCCCAGGGCCACCTCCAACTCTGCAGTTCAGTCCAGCCCCTCTACTAGGCTCTGAAAAACCACTGCAGCAATGATCTCACTCACCTGGCATTCAGTGCACATGAGCACTGTTGTTCACCAGATATGCCAAGACCTCAACTAGATGGCAAATCCAAGAGCATAGACTTTTCTTCCTATCGTTCCCACACAGCCTGGCATTACACCAGTCCCACAGTAGATACCGACATATTCCTAGAAGGTGGACTGCCCCAACAGGGCCATCTCACTGATGTCCATGTATTTATTTAGTTGAGAGCATCAATCTCATCTGTAGTCCCACTTACCTCATCCAGCTGTCTCTTCGTCTCCTCTTCCATCCTTCGAATGTCGTCCATAGTCAGGTCAACCCATTTATCGAGCCAACAGAACAGCTGCCTGTGGAAGTTTGTAAACAGACGCCTCTCTTGCTATAAAAAGGACAGACCCAACTTAGAACCCAGAAGATGAAGTCACCACTGCAGCTACTGCTCCCCAGGATCTCCACACCAACACCCACACTTTACTGGGGCAGTGGGGGAGAAGTGGTGCCTGGCTTATGTGGCTCAGCCCTTAAATCCCACAGTGACTTTTGCCTTCACATACCTAACAGGTATGGCTTCAGAAGGAGGGTGGCACACTGACAGGTCCTGTGCTCAAAATGCTATAAGACAGATAGCCCATGAGTGCACAGGTAAGCCAAGGCCCCAAAACAACTATGCCAAGTTTATCTTGCCTTGTGTCTGGATCATAAAGCCTGGGGCCAGCAGGGGCCACCCTGGCAGCACAACGGCTGAAGTCACAGAGCTATCAAGCTATCACCAACCACTGCAAACTCCCAGCCATGGAGCTAATCCACATGGCGCAGCAGATTTCTCCTGCCTCATCCACTGCTCCCCTCTGCAGTGTATTAGTCTGTCCTCCATTCTGCTCCCCAGTGTCTCTGGTGAATCCTGTCACCACCACTCACACCCTGGCCTATAGTTCTTGTATGCATAAGTAAAAATAAATCTTTAAACAAACAAACAAACAAACAAAAAAACCTGGCCAGCAGGTATGAAATGGGCCCAAAGAGTGAGGCTCTCATAACGCTAGAAAAAAGGCTATAAAGTATAAAAAACTCCATAGGTCTGCCTTGTTTGGTAACTCAACATGCTAGAGAATTTGGTTCACAGTGTCTCTTGTCTTTTGAAAGAAGACTGAGCTTTATTTTCCACTCAGTCATAGCAAGTTCCTTCCTGTTTCCTTCTTTTCCCCAGTTTCTGTCGCTGTCACAGGGTGCCATTGGCTGGACTATAAGACAGGTGCAAGGGGAAATGGTGGTGTGGGAAATCAAACTGAAATATTCTGATTTGGTCCCCCTAGGATACAAGTGACATGGGTTGTAAGACCATTCTTGTTGGGCAAGACCCTCCCTGCTCCCAACACAGACAGGGACAGCCTTATTCTGGTCACTTACCTTATGTATAAAGTTTTCCACTTTGTTCTGCAGGCCCCACCACTTGAACTTGACAGTAACCAGTTTGTATGCACACATGTATGGGCAGTCTTTCTGATTTACAAGTTCTTGCTGTATCAGAAACACCCACAGACAGATAAGAGGGCGCTCTGGCTCTCAGTTAGCCCAGCCCCAGCCATTGCCCTCCTCCATGGGGAGAGGCCCACCCACGGAAACCAGCCCCCTGGTGGACAGGGTGTGAACTGCACCTTCCAATTGGGGCCCAAGGGTCCTCGGCCTGTTTTGATAGATTTAAATTTTGCTGGATCTTCCTCTGCCTTGTAATCCTGAAAGAAGTTGGAGAATTTGAGTTGGAGGAGGGAGAGAAAGGAAGAGAGAACAAGGGAGCAGGGAAAGAGCAGATTTTCCATCAAAGTTTACTTTAAACCAGTTCTTAAAGCTATTGGCACACAGAAACTACAGGAAAATGCTATAAACAAGATACAGAACTGTTACATCAGCCTCAGAGGAGAGCACTGTGATTTTTGCTGCTGGGGTTTGTTTTCAATATTACAAGTGTCACCAGGCTGTCTGGGCAGGCACATATGTCCACTATTTTAAGACAGGGATTTTCAACCTGGGGTGAGCTTCCAAATCACCAGGGAAGGTATTTTTCAAATTCTAGATATCTGGGCCATTTTACCTAAAATCCAGTGAATAAGAATGTCTGAAGGTGAGGGCAACATTGAACTTTTTGAAACCTCTGCTAATGGCTTTAAAATGTAGCTGCCATCATTTCTAAAATCTTCTATCTCCATTTTCCATTTCTCTCTGTTTTTTTTTTTAACTGGCCTGTTTTGATAAAATCATTATTGAAAATGTTTAACATACAGACTCCATCCTCTTGTGCACTACCGTCAGTCTCAATTCACTGACTTATAATGTAGTCAAGAGGCTGTGTGTTAACTATCACAGAAGTTTAATCTTTGACTGTTCCTGTACATGGACTAATATGGGCTCAGGAAAAGCAAAGTCATCTCACCATCTACTTAACAAAAATAACAAATCACACCCATATACACAATCGTAAAATATTTCCCAAAACTAAGAGTATTAAAAAAAATCTTACCCATCTCTGTTTTCTCTCTACTCACATGAAACAACTGGAGTTGACAAATATTGAGAGCCATACTCTTTACTAAACATTTGAGTATGTTCTAGGAACCCTCTTACACTGTTGGTGGGACTGTAAGCTGGTCCAGTCACTATGGAAAGCTGTGTGGAGGTTCCTTGAAATACTAAAAATGGATCTGCCAGATGACTCAGTGATTCCACTCCTAGGAATCTACCCAAAGGACACAAAAACACCAACTCAAAAGGAAACCTGCACTCTGATTGCTATAGCGCTATTTACAACAGCCAAGATATGGAAACAACCTAAATGTACCAAAACGGATGAATAGGTCAAGAAAATGTTGTATGCATACATAATGGAATACTATTTAGCAATCAATAAGGATAAATTCATACTTTTATGACAACATGGATGGAGCTGGAAGGAGTTATGCTACATGAAATAAGTCAGAAAGAAAAAGATAAATATTGGATGGTTTGACTTAAATGTGGAATACAGAGAAATTGAACAAAGGATCAGGAAAACACAACACTTGCAAGCTGACCATAGATCAGCAGGGGAAGGGGAGGTCAATAAGTTAAAGCAGGAAAGGGAAGAGCACAAGGGACTGTGGTGATGGATCACGGGTGCTATGGTAGTGGGATGACTAACGGGGACTACACCTGAGGGGATCAATACTGTCCAAAAATAACCAATGAAAATACATATAAAAAGTAGAATATATTCTGTTTGAAATAAGTCCATCAAGCTATACCTTCTGACATAATCACTCTGCTATGTGTGTTATACTGTAATAAGTATTTGAAAAATCCAACTTTTTGAAAGTGGGGGCAGAGATGATTCTCATGTCTTTTTTAAAATATACAAATCAAAATAGCTCCAGCACTAGAGTAACTCCAGGAAAGAGCTATCATAGCTTTGGGATATGAAGAACTAACAACACTCATTCCCTATCAAGGGGCAGAAAGACTCCTGTGCCCTGATCCCAAAGGCCTCTATCTGATAGGAAGAACACTGATGAGGAGGAACCTGCCCTTCTGTTTCTCTAAAGAAATACTTCCTAGCAGTACAGCAGTAAGGACAGATCTGGTCTCTACAACCTTCAAGGTTGTGGCACAGCAGGGGAGAGTCTACTCTGGAGCCTGCTGCAATGTTTGTTACTCTGAGAAGCTATCACCAACTTCTTGAGGGCAGAAGACCCATATCTATACATTCTGTACCCCTCACCTGGAACCTATGGAACCAAGGGTTTTCCTAACACAACAGCCAGGCAACAAATGTTTTGCAATTATCGATTTGGAAAAAATAATTTTAAGATCTACTGTAATGAATGCTAATTTTTAAAAGTAAAACAAACAATACCCAAAAGAGAACTTCTTTTTGAGCCAAGGTGAGTATCCTGGTTTCTCTGATACTTAAAAGTCATTTCTGCATCTCAAAGGCCATCCAAGTCTCTAAACAGTTCCTACCTTGCTAAGTACTTGGCTTCGATCTGCAATGTCTATATATATGGCTTCCACATGTTTCCATGTCTCCGGCTCCAGTTTATGCACCTGGAAGGAGGAGGGTAGTTTCTGTTATCTGTAAAGCATCCTTTACCCAGAATGGAAATACAAGCATAGTTATTTCCATAGCTACATCTGTGAGATCCCTACTGGTAAAGAGTTACATATAAAATACCCAAAAAGAGGGCCCTCCCTGGTGGCACAGCGGGTTAAAGCACAGCACTAAGAAGCTAAAGCCACTTCCACATGAGTTCGATTCCCGCCAGCCCCCGAGGTGACCACATGGCGCGGCAGACCTCTTCTGACCGGCCCGCCGCTCCCCTCAGCAGTGTACTTCGTCGATCTGCCTGTTCTGCTCCCCACTCTGTCTCTGGTGAAGCCTCTCACCACCCCTGCACCCCTGGCCTCTACTCCAGTTCTGTAATGCATAAATAAATAAATCTTTAACAACAAAAAATATATCCAAAAAGAAAGTGAGGATGACTTTTAAATGGATATATATGTGAGAACTAATGCTCTCATTTTTTCAGGCATTAGTTTTTGGCAGGTCAAAATCCTCATAGGGCTGTCTGGACCACTTATGTTCTTCTCTTGTGTTCCCCTTTTGTAAAGACTAAAAGACTGTCATCATTCATGAAATATAGCCTGTTTAGCCTTACCTGCTTATTTTGAAGCATTTTAAAAGTTACTTAATTGCAAGAGATCGTACTTGTACATTGTATGAAATTATGATAAAAATTCAAATTATACAAAGAGCAGGTATTCTTTGTGTCCACCAGTCCCATC